TGAAATTTTTTACGTTATTTGTATGCAGCTCGTAAGGATCATTTCAAGGTCATGCCGTCTATGCCACATAATACATCTTTTCATACCATAAAAATTATGTCTAAGACATTTTGTCGAAAAATGAATAGTTTCGGAAATAATTCTTTGCTTCCATACTTTCTCCCCACCCTGTATACACAAAATCAATATACAAAAAATTGCGAAATCAAAATATATACACAAAGACAAAAGTACCACGAAAATTGTAACGTAGCCCATATGATAGCGACCCACACAATATGGATCACATTACGACAGCCATACTCCTGGCTATATTTGACAACCTCCGCAAATTACAATAATACATATTCTGAACATAAGAGGATAATCAAGAAATCAGGTCGAAATACTCTACGCGACAATTGTAACATGACAACTATCCAGGTAGCAAGCACACGTCATTTTGACGTTCCAAACTAGTCATTTTGATCATGTCGTCAGAATGACTAATTTGTTACATGACTTTATATTAACGTTTTGATATTATTTTGACGTCATTTTTCAGTCATGAAGTGACGATTATTTTATTATATTTTATTATATAATATAGTTAGTTAGTACATCGATCCCATAAAAAAATCTTTTAAAATTTTTTATATAACATGACTTTCGCGATCAGACTTTAACAATTGTTAAAGTAAAATTCACTGTAAAACCAGTAAATTTCACTGTAAAACCAATAATCGCTAGTTCGTTCGTTTACCGCTATAATGGCTATCTCCCTCGTATTTAGTTTTAGTCATGAGCATTATATAAAATTTGCAAAAAGTGACAGATAAAATTAGAAATATTACTTCGATTTAATTTCTTATACAATTCTATAGAGAGGCTTCAGATATTAAATCGATTTTATAAGTCGGACAAATAAATGTCTGGCTACTTAATGAAAATTATTCGTTCGTTATCTATTTAAAATAACAATATACATGTAATATAAATAAAATAAAATTTTTAATATAATAAATATTTAGTAAATAACAATAAAATTTTTAATTTTATATATATTTATATATATTTATATTACTTATTTTTATATTTATTATATTCATATTATATTTATGAAATAGATAGAGAGATGAATTGTAGTTTAATATTACTGGCAATAATGAAAGAAATATTACTGAGATATTACTGATTAAAATAGTCAAAATTATTAACTGATTCTTTCAATAAAATATCACTGATTTACAGTGCTTATAACTGCAGTAATCAGTGATTATTTACTATTTTTCAGTGATAATACACTGATTCACTTTTAGACAGTGCTTTATTCGACAACACTATTAAATATATTATTATGCTAAGAAAAAGACGTCAAAATATGGTACATTTTATGACGTCAAAATGCGGTACAAATCATGACGTCAAGAATCTGTGACATTAAGGTAACATTTCACGAGCAGTAAAAAGCAGCAGCAGTTTAGTAATTAACATTTAGTAATTAGCATTTGGTGATTTTACAGAATTGCTGCGCTGCCTATGAAATTGCTGCTTTGCTGTTCAACAGGATGAACTTCAAACAGCAAAAACTTGCGCCGGAAGTACGTCACCGATTCTAGTTACTTTCTAAAATGCTGCTGCTTTTTACTGCTCATAAAAAGTTATCTTTAGACCGTCATTTTTATGTCATAAAAACATTAATTCGTGACATCAAGAATAGTTAGTGAATGACCAATTTGAAACGTCAAAATGACGTATGCTTGCTACCTGGGTACAAACATGACAATACAGACGGAAACAAGCACATACAGTATAATTATAGAAACATTTTTACCAGAATTTAATATAACAGTTTCAAATAAAAGAGATAATGACGACAAACTTAAAGATATAATAAATAATCCACTAGAGTTAAAAGATTTAAACAATAAATTAGAAGAAATAAATAACGGTTTAAATAATAACAAAAATAATTTCTTCAAACAAAAACAATTTATTTACCCAATGGCATCCAGCGGAATAATCACTATAATTATTATAATATTAATAATATGGATAATTGTCCAAAATAGGAAAAATAAACTTAAACAAACGACTGTTAGAATAGTAAATGAAATCGACAATAAAATATCAAGCATACGGAATGCCTAGACCAATCTTAAAAAGAAATAAAAGCACACGGTTTTAAGAAAAAAAACTAGATGTAAGAAATGATTGTAATCAACATTGTAAAACAGAAAAAAGACATTGCATTATATTCAAAATTGCAAAAATTATAGAAAAACTTTGTTTCAACCTCCATTTTTCTTTTTTAACGGAGGAGAGGTGTTATAGTCTCACAGACTATAACCTGTACATAATTAAAATATTAAATGTTAGCATAAAATATTATTATTAAAGACGATATCAAGCATTCACCTCATAGAATCGCTGTCTCAGCGAACCACGCGCGGATTCGTCGAAAACGCGGAAGTACAACGAAGGATTTCGACACCAAATCATCTTCGCTTGCACTTCAACTTGACCGTACCATGACCCCGTATGGCCATGTTAGTAAGCGATCCCCTCTCCCAAAAAATCTCCCAAAATAAGGGTTTAAATACGAACCACCGCAAGAGCACGGCGAATAGTCATAAAGCAAGTGTAACCAGTATTAAATGCGAACCCAATACGTATTATAAACAAATTACTTTGAAGTTATAATCGAAGACGAAGGACAAGGCGGAAAGATCCAACTATGGGCGTTTTCCAGCTAGCGACATAGAGGACACAGTGTAACACAGTGAATCATTTCATCCTTGTTTACATTCGGCAACCAACAAGGATGAAGTGATACACTGTGTGCTCTGTGTCGCTTGTTGAAAAACGTCCTATATCATCAGAAATAAGAAAAGCTCCTGTACGAATTGATGTATATTCTAGAGATTAACTAGAGAAAACACAAGTATAATTAAAGCAGAAAATACATTAAATTATTAAACACAGCCAAACTCCTGGCTCTTGATCCTTCGGCGGCCTGAGATATTCTATATCTCCCGACTGCACCCCACTTCCCATACCACTCCCAGTACAACATATTATACATAAATTCTCTCTAAGAAACTAAAACGCATTTTATATTTATTGAAAGAAACTTGATTTTTAAAATATTTCAAATCAACACTAAATGAAAATTAAGATTCTTTTAATTCCTAAAACATTTTTTATATAATATATATAATTTAAAAAAAATGTTTTACGCAAGTTTTAAATCGCACAGTTTTTAAATCGAAGTAAGTTATGAAAACTTGGCGTGCCCGAATCGTAATAAAACACAGATTAAATATTTAATTACATAATATCTAAGATTTTACATTTTATTAGGAATGTATTTGTTTATAATGCAAACTGGGCACGCCAAGTTTTCATAACTTATTTCGATTTAAAGACTGTGCGATTTAAAACTTGCGTAAAACATTTTTTTTAAATTATATACATCATATAAAAAATGTTTTAAGAATTAAAAAAATCCTAATTCTCATTTAGTGTTGAATTTAAATATTTTAAAAATCAAGTTTCTTTCAATAAATATAAAATGCGTTTTAATTTCTTAGGGAGAATTTATGTATAATATTTCTACAATATAAGATTGATATTTCATGGCAAATATTATATCAAATTGCTTTTAAGTACTTGGCTAATAGTAATTATTGATTTTCTATTTAATTTTGATATTTTATTTTTTAATATTTTTTAGGAAAATTATTTGTTGAGGTTTTATTTTTTGGAAAAATGATTTTGTGAGGGAAAATTATTGTAAATTATTTTTAAGGACTTTTTTCATTAAACATTTTGTTGCATACAAGCTAGAATATTTTTTATGAGCTTCACGTATTTTTTTTACTTTTGGAAGACTTTTTTAGATGGATCACTTTTTTGTAAAATTTTACATCCTTTCTACAAATTAATTTTTAGGAAAACATTTTGGTAAATCATTTTTAGGGATATTTTTTTATTAAACATTTTGTTGCATAAAATGAAATATTTTTTATGTACTTGGCATATTTTTTTATGTACTTGGCATATGTTTTTTACCTTTGTATGGTTTTTTAATTTGGTAATTTTTTTTCCATTTTTTGAAGAATTTTTGAATATACATGTCATATAAAATAATATTCTAAGAAAAAACTGAAATCAATCTAGAATTAAAAAATCAACTTTTTCGCTTTAAAAAAAAAATTTAATATTGATTGAAAATTAGATAGACAGATAAGTTTATTTATTTCTTGCCTTTCGGCGTTAAAAGGAGTTTATTGATTGAAAATTATCTTTATCTTTTAATTAACAATAAGGGAATTATAAATATATAATAAAATTTCTATTAACTATTCTATTAATTTAAAACATGTAATACTTTGATAAAAATAAAGAAATTTGAATATACAGGGTGTCCCAAAAAGATTATAAGCGCAGTAACTGAGCCAATACTTATGAGCGCGGTAAACTAAATAAAAAAATCCTTTATTATTTTGTAATTTTCACAATAATTATTGAAATATTCAAAAAGAATTAGCTAATGAACGCGTATTTCGCGCGGCTAAATCATAAAATGTAAGTATGCCAATAGCGAGTGTCGCGCAACAAAAAGACAAAAGGATACGCATAGCCAAATTTTTTTTGTCTTATAACATTCAATACTGATACACTTAGAGGAAACATTCCACGCTTAGGAAACGCACGCTTATTTGCCAATTCTTTTTAATTAAGATTTCAATAATTATTGCAAAATGCTAATGGACTTTTCCGTTCAATTTATTTAATTCTACCCGCTCACGAATGTTGGCACAATCTTTATGAGATATCCTGTGTTTTGTAATTTCTACAATAGTTATTGAACAAAATAAAAGAATTATAAAATTAAAAATAATTTTAGCTTTAAATTTCCATTAATAAAAAAGAGAGCTTATTTTATATTTGTATCTGTATATGTATTCTGTCTGTACAATCTTAAATTGTCATTATATTGATCGAAATATACAAACCTACGCAGCCTATAAAATATAAAGCAAGATTGGGTTTTCCTCCAATCACTCCCATGGACTGTGTAATCTTAAATGACGTCTGAAAAAATGTTTCTAATCTATAATCTACATTTTGAACTAAATATATGCATTAGTAATACGTTATAATAATAAAAATTTGTATGCATCTAACTGTACAATAATATGAAAATTCAATGTTCAATGTAACAATTTTTATATTACCTTAAGTCCATTAATGTATATAGGATTAATCTCGCTGAGTCCAAGGCGTAATGGAATTAACAATAATAAAGGTTTCCATTGGCCAGGTGCCTTTAAAGGTACTTCTCCATCTATTTCCGCGGTCGTACCACCTTCTATCCTACACTGTCTTACTGCAAATCCATATATAAAAAATATGATCAAATATAATAAAAATTGTTCAAATACATTTATCCATTAATTAACATACACACATACACACACACACACACACACACTATACATATATTAATGTATTATATCTATTAATGTTATACAGGGTGAGCCATTTTAATTTATCCACTTCAATAACTTTTTTGTATTTGAATGTACAACAAAATGTTTCAAATAAAAGTTGCTTGACTTCGAGGGGGACAGAAGATGGGTGGCAAAAATTTGACCTTGGATAGTCATTTGAAAGTTGCATAAAGGTTACCTTCAATTTCTTAAATGGAACCCCCTATTTTTCATTGCATATTCTTATAGCTTATCTCGAGAGCTTTCCAAAACACTATAATTAAGTACCTTTTAATTAAGTACTTTTTGAGTTATAAGGCTTGAAATAATTTCTTAATTTTACATAAATCTTAAAATATCTAGTAAACCTTTCATTTTTCGATTATCTTATCTTGATATTTTTATGTATAAAATAATGAGAGAAATCAATTGGTGTAAGGAAAACACATAGTTGTTTCTAAGAAAAAATATGTAATTTGCAATTAACAATTCCATATTTTTCTTAAAAACAACTGTATGTTTTCTTTACACGAATTGATTCCTCTCATTATTTTGTACATAAAAGTATTAAGGTAAGATAATCGAAAAATGAATAGTTTACTAGATATTTTAAGGTTTATGTAAAATTAAGAAATTATTTCAAGCCTTATAACTCAAAAAGTACTTAATGAAAAGGTACTTAATTATAGTGTTTTGGAAAGCTCTCGAGATAAGCTACAAGAATATGCAATGAAAAGTAGGGGGTTCCATTTAAGAAATTGAAGGTAACCTTTATGCGACTTTCAAATGACTATCCAAGATCAAATTTTTGCCACCCATCTTCTGTCCTCCTCGAAGTCAAGCAACTTTTTTTTTAAACATTTTGTTGTACATTCAAATATAAAAAAGTTGTTGGGATGGATAAATTAAAATGGCTCACCCTGTATATCCTAATTTCGTTTCATTCGATTTAAGAAAAATCGAATTTTAAAAAATATAAATTTATAAAATAAAAATATAAATTAAGAAACATAATTAAGAATAAATAAAATAACATATGTAGAGGGAGAGAGAGAGCATACATACAATAGGGTGACACCCGATTGACCACGTCACCAATTGGCCGATTCAAAATAGGGCTCTCTGATTGGTCAATCGTTGTTGGTTACCGTAGGCACGGGTCGATATAATTGGCTGTGCTCAATCGCAACGTGGTCAAACGAGGCACTCCCCATACAATAATTCATGCCCATATAAAAATTTATATAATATATACTAATATATATATATATATATATATATATATATATATCGTAAAAATATACATATTGATGATATAAGTAAATTAGATAACTGTTATATATATATAATGCTATATAAGAGCAAAAATTATGTTACAGTCTTATATTATTAAAATTACATATATATGGATAAATGAAACACTTAATAAAAACTAATATAATCTTAAACATATAGTTATTATTTAATTATGAGTTTCTCCGCATAATATAAATTTAATCCCTTCTAATTTTATTTTTTTTATTTTTAAATATATATTTTTTGAAAAAAAATCTTAATGGGACGCGGAAGTCCTGTTTTACCGAAGTTACAATTTAACCGTAAGAAGCCGATAAAAAACTATAATTTTTCAATTTTTTCTTAATTTTTAACCGCTTTGTTTCTATATACTTTAATCGTGGAGGAGTATTTATTATTTTGTGCAACTAATGAAAAGATGTCGAACAAAAATGAAATATAACATTTTATCGGTAAAACAGGACTTCGGCATCTCCTTAAATATATATAATACATTAAAAACACACACAACAAAATCAATATATTAAATATGTGATATATTAATGTATTTAACTGATTCTTTTTTAATTAACTAATTAATGCCGTAATTCTTTTTTTATTATATTTCATTATATACAGATACCAATATACCACAGAAATTTGCATCAACATTGCTGCAATGTTACAACATTGCACATTGCAGTGTAGTGCTGCAGAAATATTGCAGAGATATTATTTTGTAATATTTTTGGCAATACTGCAACATTTTAACATAACGAAAATGTATAATAGGTGTTTCTTTACTTGCCGCTACGTGGCGACATCAAACTTAAGTAACTCGTACTCGAATTTTCGTCTAAAGTGGATATAAGGTCTACAAAGGACTAATGCAGTAATTATATTTCTTGTCTTGAGTCGGTTTAATTTCTAATAAATTGACTTGATTTATTTAATATTCTGAATTCTAATAAGGGATATAGATTATTAAACAAATAATTTATTTAATAATCTGGATCCCTCGTTGGGATTCAGAATATTCAACAGATTTTTCTTCAGTAAATAGATAAATGAGAAATAGAAGAATTCATTTATTGCACGTATTAAAATATTTTGTTGTCGAAGGTATGTACCCAGTCAGTCTGTTCAAACAGATTTTATCAATTTCTGCAAATTTTTGTCGACAGTAAGATTACAGATTGTATAAAAAATTTGTTATATCAAATAATGAGAATGTCAGCAGAAATGTTACAAAACCTGCTGCTGACTTAACCTAGTAAGCAAAATGTTAGCAGGTTGGCAGCAGATTGGCAGCAAATTCAATCGGAATCCCACACCAGAAACCATCTGTGTCCATATTAAGCTTTTGTTTTGATAACAGAGTCTGTAAAACATAACCTGTAAACAAACTGTCGGCAGAAACCGAACAGAATCTGCGCATGCAACCTGATGGCAAATTGACAGCAGAAACTGCATAAGATTTGCGCTTACTTTTATTAATGTTATATAAATGCAACAAAATTGATTATTATAAGTGTTAACCCGGGAAAAAAAGTCCATATATGGATTTTCTCAATATCTAATTATACATGCTTAGACGTGATATCAGTATCTGATCAGTGATGCCAGTTTCGAGACGCTGCCCCCTACCGCTACATATGAAATAGCACACACAAAGAAAGAGCCGAGTCCGTATCTGCGCTCTTCTACTACCTGAAGCTAGCTGTCGTGTACGGACACAGCTCTTTCTTTGTGTGCGCTATCTCCTGTACATGTAGTGGTAGGGGGCAGCGTCTCGAAACTGGCATCACTGTATCTGATTATGTCTGATTATACAAAATGACGTGAGATATCTAATTCACTTTTTATGATCGGAAATGGTCAGAGATGGACATCATATCTAAGCATATACAAAAACGTATGCTCTGATAAAATTATATGTGATATTATATATAATCATACAAGATTGTATATAATTTTACTTTTTTTATATAAATAGATATGGACTTTTTTCCAGGGAAATAACAATATTATCGGCAAGTTAATTACAATTTTCTTCTAAAATGACATATGTTATATCATAATATATGTTAATGTAATATATGTTATATCGTAGTTATCTCGTATCTCATATAGGAAGAACTAATTCAATTTAATTAAATTAATAATAAAGTAAATGATAAAAGTAAATGTAATTTGTAAATCTTGAAATGTAATTTATTTAGAATTAAATTCTTGCTTTATGCCTCAAATAGACAGTACATGAATAATTTTCCATTTATTTATCTATTTATATTGATTCCAATCAGTTTAATATTCTGAATCTCATCTGCTTGTATCAGATATCAGAAATTAAAGTGATATAAATTAAAATGATAATTACTATATTTTTTATTCATATTCGCGACTTTATATATATTTCTGATAGAATTAAACAGTAATCGGGAGAGTAAGAGAATTAAACAGTAATCGCTTGAGGAGCTAATATTATGCAATAATGTTAAAGTCAGTAAATAAGAATAGATTTAATAACGTTGCAATACATTTATATTAAGTAACTATTAATGACTGTGCGCATTATGTGATGAAATGTATAAATAACTATTAATGAATATGCGCATTATATGATGAAATGTAAATGTACGTTTCTGTACGTCTCTTCAGTACAAATAAATAAATTTTAGGAAAATTAAAACTTAAAAATTACAAGGATTACGCTTATCGCATGAATGGTATCCGAGTAAACCGTATATTCGGCTGTGTGTAATTAACTGTGTAATTTCTTAGCAGTACTAGGTGTCGACCACGTGGTGGATGTTTCCAGAGCGTCTCTCCTCCTCTCATGTTCCCCGTACAGTGTCTTGGCAAAGACATGCAGAAAGAAACAAGCAAAGAGGCCGTGATTCTGATAGAAATTAGATTACGAGAAAGTACAGCTCACGTAGCGGTAAGTGAAGAAACTATCGAATTATGTAAATCCTGTTCCGTTTCTGCCGTCAATCTGCTATCAGAGATTGTGTGCGCAGATCCTGCTCGATTTTTGTTATCAATTTGCTATCAAATTGCCTCACAGATCCTGTTAAATTTCTGTTATCAATCTACCGTCAATTATATCTGCAGGCTTTACTCGATTTCTGCTGATAATTTGACATGAAATTTCATTGCGTAGATCCTGCTCGGTTTCTGCCGACAATCTGTTGTCAAATTGCGTCGCACAGATCCTGTTCGGTTTCTGCCATCAATGTGCCGTCAGTTACATCAGCAGACTCTACCCGATTTCTGTCGACAATTTGATATCAAATTTCATTGCACAGATTCTGCTCGATTTTTGTTATCAATCTGCTGTCAAAATTGCGCCGCACAGATCTTGCTCGGTTTCTGCCATCAATATGCCGTCAGTTACATCAGCAGGTTCTATCCGATTTCTGCCGACAATTTATCAAATTTCATTGCGCAGATCCTGCTCGGTTTTTGTTACTAATCTGCTGTCAAAATTGCTTCGCATAGATCCTACTCGGTTTCTGCCATCAATGTGCCATCAATTATATCAACAAGTTCTGCTCGGTTTCTATTGACGATCTGTTGTTCAGTTATGTGAACAGATTTTGTTGTCTGCTGACATGCT